GAAAAACCTTAGTGTATTTCATTTATTATACTGGTAGCCCTTTGGGGTAGCATTTATAATTAAAATGTATAGAGATGTTGAAGTTAATCTATATTTATCCTTTTACTACAATTTCTGATCATATCAGTAGCCCTCTGAAGTGTGAAATAATCATGGGCATTTGGTTAATGAATTGTGCATTGTTGCTGTTCATTCATGGAATCTGCTCTTTTATTATATTTGATGCTTCACTTAACAACAAATTTTGCTTTCTCTGCATTTGATATGTTTTTACCAAATTATTCCTGATTGTATCCATTAATCTTTAGTCACATTTGACAAAAATAAATTACTGTGATCTTTTAAAGTTACCAGTAATAATTAGATTTTTCAGGACATCAAAGTTTTAGGGGAACCACTAGATGTTTAAGGGCTTGTATAAAAATGTTTGCACAAGCTTTTTGATAAATACTATGCCCAAATGCAATTTGGGTAATGGATAAACAAAGACTCTACAAGGAAGAAAAAAGTCATGAAATCTTCATAATTAACATTTATTTGCATTCTTATCATCTGCATTTTCTTGAGAATCAATTTCCATTCGTTTCATTTGGGATTATTATTTTATAAACATAATATGCACAATTCTCCTCACGCTTTCCTGCAGGTCTCCAGGATCAATAGAAATCGCTTCACTGTTTAACACCTCTGTGTTCTGGGCAGAAATACAACCTTGAAGCCCAGTTGTAGGCACTTTGTCCCTAAAGAGAACTGGAATGAGGAGAATCTGAAAATGTATTCACTCTCTCAAGGTTCTTCAAGGTGTTTTCTTCAGTTCTTTTTGTTCTTTTGTGTGACTTTACCTGTATGTATCAAGGATCACCTAGTATATTTTTGGTTAAAAATTTGATTTATAAATATAACCTTTATGGCTTCTATTCAAATTCCAGAGAGGATTGCCTCTTGCTGAAGGAAAACATTAATTATCATTCTCTTTTTAAAAAATGTATGTACATTTTTAGTTTATGAATGGTGTCCGGCTAGCAATTCAGGAATTCTCACTACAGTTCCTTCAAGTCTACGCATTATAGCACAAGGATTAAGGACTTGGGTTGTGGAATTAGAATGAACTGGGATCACATTTTGACATCATCACTCTCTAGCTTGACTTTCAACAAGTGTCTTAACTTACAGAGAGCCTCAGGTTTCTCAGACACAAATGAAGGATGATAATAACACTCTTCTGCATAAGTAAAAGGGATGTGTATTGCAGAAAAAATGTGTATTGCAGAAAAAATGCAGAAGAGGGACAGCCATGGAAGATAGTACATTGTAAGAATCATAGGTCTCCACCCCTCTCATCCCTTCTACCACCACCCTGTCCCACAAAGGAGGAAAGAGAAAATCCTATTTCAGATCAGTAGAATTGTAGCAGATGAAAGTTTGCTGTTTGTTGGACACTGCAGATTATGCCAGATTGCAAGTTTCCACTAAAATTAATCTGGAAATTTAATGTAACTTTAATATAGTGATTTTCTTTGGCAGGAGGCGGGGTGGGCACTTGAGAAACTATGCTAAAGTTTATCTGGAAAGATAAGCCAATGAGATTTACTAGATTAATTTTGCTAAATGAATAGAGGGATAAGTGAAACAAAAGTAAGTGTTTAGAAATAGATCTAAATACATAAAGTTTAGAATACAGTAAAGATAGTGTTTCGAATCTGTCATTATTGGCTATTTAATAAGGGATGTTGGAGTATTCACTTCCCCAAATACACACATACACACACACACTTGTATGTATAT